ATTACGTCACGGCCAAAGCCATGCAGTTAACCTTGGACGATATGGAGGCGGCGACTGGGTTACAGGCCGCGGCGGACGATGACATGCAATGATGTGTTTCTGAAAGGCTAAGGTCTTCAATACATGCGAGCTCACGCGCGCTGCGCGCCGGTGCAAGGTTTTGCGCTGCCTTTTGGTGCATGCGCCCTGTTCAGTACACCCTGCGCCGCTTGCCACGCAGCAGAGAGCAAGCATTCTTCACAAGAGACAGTGGTGATGAAGCCTCCAGAGGGTTTCAAAACAACCTGAAAACTGCGACGGCTCCTGAGGACGACGTGCATTACGCAACATACTGTATCACACACATAACATGTATAATAACACGTGCACGAACATCAAAGACGCAACATCCCGATCTTGGAAAGAACCTGTGTTCTGATAGCTCTGATGACCGTTCTTAGGTTAAGATCGCGAGGTTTTGTGGATGCAATGTTTGGGGTAAGCTGTTCAAGGTAAACTGCCCAGGGTAAACTCTGTGCGGTGAGCTGTTTGGGCTCCAATCCTCTTTCATCTCCCCGCTGTCTGGGGTAAACTGTCCGGGGTTAATAATAAACTGTTTGGGGTGCACAATTCGGGGTAAACTGTTTGGGGTCCTCGCCGTCGTCTCCTCCTCCTCCTCCATCCCGTCGTCGTCCGCCTCCGTCCGGGGAGCCCGTTGCATCCGCCCTCCCATCCGTTCCCTAGCCATTTTAGGCTGTTGTGGTGAGTGACGCACTTTGCTGCGCCGCAGGCAACTTTCTTCGACCTTGGCCCATCAGAGAGGTCTGAAGACCTCGCCTCCGACTCACCAGGTACTCCAAGCCATGGTGCGCGCCAAGGCCAAGGCCAAGGCGGAGGCCGAACCCCCGCCGACTTCGGAGGTGGCCAGCGCCGAAAGCAATGGCATTAACAAAGAGTTCCTGGCCGAGATAGCCGTGCTGTATGAAAAGATTTGCAGCCACGAAGTGTTTCGCGACCTGCGGGACGCGGGGGCCCTGGACGTCAGC